CACTGAGAGAGAGAGGCGCCACCGGGCATTCTGTTCCAGACACCCACCACTCTTCGGGTCAAGACTGTCAGCCCTTGAGAAGTCAGCGGGTCAGTCGATGCAGACATCTGGCCCAGAGGGCGGCCGCATTCTGACTGATCCTCCCCCCCCACCCCCTCCCCACCATCCTGATTCCAGGTTGGGGTCCATTTACACAGAGAGTGACCACCTCTGCGACCTTGTTTTTGAAAAAACACCGCCAATCAGGCCGACTGTGGGCGAGGCCCCACTGCCCCCTGCTGGTGGGAGGACTGCACGGCAGCCCGACACCCCTCCGCTCCGACACAACCCTCCCCTGCCCCCTGCAGCCCAGGTCGCTCCGGGCTCAACCGCCTCTCCTCCGCGGCGCGGGGCCGGAGCCGGGCCGCAGAGCCGAGCCCGGGGGGAACCCAACGATATGGCGACAGGATCCGCTGGGCCGCTGGCCTGCCAGTCTTCCCCGCGCAGCAGGAGTAGGCGGCAGCCTGGTAAATTTAGACTCTCGACAGGCTTCTGATCGCGTTCCAGACATGGGAGCTGAACGCCCGAGCTGCAGGCGGCGGGGATCCGGGCCCGGCCTCCGGTTCCTGGAAAGCTCTGCTTCTGTTCCAGAGCTCCGTTCGCGCCCGAGGGGAGGGGTGCAGGAGCAGACGGGGGGGGGGGGGGTTCTTTACACAAAGAGCGGTGGGTGCTGTGAACCGCTCGTGTCGGGAGAGCTCGGGGGACTGGCAGGCCTGAAGGGACACCTGGCAGCTCTCTGGCTCCGTGTCCCTGAACACACAGCTCCCAGTACCTCCGGTTCCAACCCACAGCCAGGTCTGCTCGACTCATTCGAATAACACTTGTATATTGTTTTTCTGGACACCCCACTCAGAGCTCTTTCTAGCTCCTGGGGATCCCCTCCACCCCCACCTGGATGCTGCTCCAGTCCTCTCACACACACCAGCTCTCAGTGGGAGGAGAGCAGAGGGATGGAGCCAGTTCAGAGAGGGGGGGTATTAGGAGGCCATGAGGGGTAAAGGCCAGGGGGGAATTGGGCCAGGACACTGGGGTGACACCCCTACTCTTCTCGAGAGGCACCCTGGGATTGTTCATGACCACAGAGAGTCAGGACCTCGGTTTGACGTCTCATCTGAAGGACGGCGCCTGTTTACAGTCTAGTGTCCCCGTCACTATACTGGGGCATGAGGACCCACACAGACTGCAGGGTGAGAGCGCCCTGCTGGCCCCACTCACACCTCTCCCAGCAGCAGCCTCAGCTCTCCCAGCAGTCTGCCCTCCAGGTACTGGCCAGGC